TTTTAGGTCCAATTTTGTTTCTCGTTTATATTAACGATTTGCCTTTTTCCATTGGTGAAAATTCATGTATTTTGTTTGCTGATGATACGACTCTGGTCAGCCCATGTCCAAAATTGAGTAATGACTGTGTACTGACTGCTAAAAATTGGTTTTGATCAAATCTATTAAAATTAAACAATACCAAGACACAGAATTTATTATTTACTTTTGATAAACCAGTACAGAAAGCTAGTGCCAAATTACTTGGAATTTATTGTGATACTAATAAAATAAAATAAAAAGTAGTGTTTCGCCATGCGCCATAAGGTTCCGGCCAACCCCCCCTCTTCATTGTTTTGGGTTGTGGGACGAAAGCGAGGGTGTGGGCACACAAGCCCTACACACATATAGACAGATGAGTTTAGGTTAGAGTAGTGTTAAGACACCTTGTGAGAACTTATTATATCATTAAATAAGTGAAAGATCAAGCCAAGGGTTTCATTAACAAAATCAATCAGTGCCCCGTAATAATCCTGTCTGCCAGGGCAGGCAAAAGGATATAATATCAGAAGGTGCTTCGTGCACAATCAAACAATTTTAAACCAAAAGGGTTGCAAATTGATAATTTTCGAGATAATTGATGTACCTAATATTAAGGTATAAATCCACAGACTTCAAAGACTCATATAAATATGGGTACCAGTGGTGGAGATACCAGGCATTATTTTCATTAAAAACCTACAGGATATTTTGAAAATTCTGATATTTTTTACTTTTATGTATAAGGTGTTTCTATGTAAAAGGCTACCTTTCAGTGTATTCGATGTAAAAGGCTATCTTTCAGTGTATTCGAAATACAAATCATTTTCGATTTTAAATACAATGTAATGTAATCATGATAACTGAGGAAATAATTGGCACCATTTCTTTTTTATGTCTTGCTATCTCTAATAAATTACAAAATTCATACACCATTGAATTTTTTAAAACTTGTCATGATTAGTGTTGTTTTCTAGCAAAAAAAATATCCTATGCAATTTTTTTGGGGTTGGGGAACGAATAGTTCTAAAGCCATTTTACAACATTCTGTAGAAAAAAAAAAAACGAAAATGGTTTGTTTGTCAGTTGTCACATAAAACATCTTTCTTCTTGGAAATGCTACATGGAAGTTACAAGTAGTGATCAAATTTCCAAAATATCCAGTAGCGTAGAATTTCTACAGTTTTCAGCGACAGCATTTTCCCATATCTCTGCCATTGGTGCATGTATCTACACAGTGTTTTTTTCGATGTTTAGTGTAGGGATCGGGGAAAATAGCAGAGATACAAAAAAGCTTAAATGAGGAAAAATGTGCAGTTTTATGATCCTTATTAAATGTTATTTATTTTTGAACAAACGTCATGGCTGACTAGATATTTGGAAATACCGAATTTGGTTAATTCCTTCAGATGCGTGTAATTCCGTTGCTATTTATTTTGCAAACAAATTTTAAATTAAAGTTTCAAGTTTTTGCAGTGTTAATAAGACAGTGTTGTCAAATTGTTCGTGTGCACTTTCGTTTTCAAGTTATAACATAAACTTCAAGTTTTTTAAATGTAAACCATAGCTATGAGCTAGAAAAAAATTTATTTTTTATGCTTTCCAACGATATATTATTTGGTATGATTATTTTGAAAAATGGGAGAACTGCAGCCGTTTTTAACTTTTCAATTGTTTGATGACGTAGATGGCTGTGAAAACAATGGAAATGTTTATTACAAGGCTTTTAATTACTGTAGCATTATTTGACAGTTACTTTTCTTTCTTAAAATCTTAAAAGTCGTTTCAATTGCTAAAGACAATGAATTTTTCAAATGAGGAAAAGCATGATACTGAGTGTTATATTCGTTGTGATAAAAACTATGTTTGAGCTGCACAGCAATACTTCGAACAATATTTTGATCGTCGACAGCCTAGTCTACCTACATTCAGAAGACTTTATGACAATTTGGGACAATGTGGTTCTTTCTGTAAACCAAAAAACAGAGAAAACAACATAAATGAACCTGCGGAAGTAAATGTACACAAAATCCCTCAATTTCAACACGGCAAATTGCATTAGAAGAAGGTACGTCGCAGAGAACTGTCGTGAGAGTACTAAGAAAACATAAATTTCACCCAAACAAAAGTTGAAAAGTTAAAAACAACTGCAGTTCTTCCATTGTTTTCTAGTTATGGTTTAAGTTTAAAAAAGTTTATGTTATAACTTGAAAAGCACACAAACAATTTGATCACACTGTGTTATTAACATTGCAAATAACTGAAACTTTGTAATTTTAATTTTGTTGTAAACTAAATAGCAACGGAGCTACACGCATCTGATAGAATTTGCCGAATTCGGATTTTTTCAATTATCTAGTAAGCCATGACGTTTTTTCAAAAGAGTCGGGTAGCGGTACTGGGTACTTCAATCATTCGGGCAACTTTCAAGGGCATTTTTAGCATATTTCCCATCACCCAGGCGTAAATCCGAGATATACAAATTGGAGATTTTGTCATCTACTTTCAGATGCCATTTTCAGAATTTAAATCGGACCATTTTTGCTAAATCACCACGATATGCAAAAAAATACCCTAATTTGTTTATAATGCAATTGTGCAAAAACTATGCATCGGACAGAAACCATCTTGCGCATGATTAAACTACATATTATTATCTGTCATTTTCCGCACTATTGTTTTTCCTGCTTCAAATTTGACGGTTATGAATTTTTGAAAAAAGGTCTCTTAGAGGTTTTTCCGGATTTTCTCTGTAAAAAATTAATCGATTGGGTCGCACAAAAAACCATTTTATAAGTTTTTTTATTATCTACAAAAGTCCTATTGAGAGTAAGACGATTCCATCATTATTTTTTGAGATATTATAAAAAACTAAAAACATATATTCACAACTTTGCTGGGGAAATCACTTGGGTTTTCATTTACTAAGTATTTTTCAAAAGGAAATACATGAAATTTGCTGTAATATTTATGTGTAAATACAGCCTCTTTCTCTTTCAATTCAGAAGCGGTCTAAACTAAAAAAAATTTTTAATTTTTGTTGAAATTTATGTCGGTTAGATACAACTTTCTAAAATTAGATTATTATCCATTATTGATAGTTGCCAAGTTGCTTTCTGAAATTGTTGCATGTACATGGAACATTGGGACACATTGTATATTTGTAACACATATTCATTTGTTCAAGCAACGAAAAATACAGGCTAAATTTAATATTATCCAAATGAATTGAATTTTACCCCATCCTCAAAGTAAAGAACGCGGCTATTTTAATTTTAATATTTGTAGGTTGTTAGTGGAGCTGGCCATCATGTTTACGCTGACAAACCAGAAGCATTCAATCAAATTGTCTTAGATGCTTGTAATTACAGCGATGGTGTATCGAGAAATAATCTAGCTCTGATGCCCCCCGATAGTGGGGGCGAATCGGATGCAGAAAGCAATGCATCAGATTCAAATAATAGACACTGACGTTTTTTAAACGCATTAAATTCATCTGTAATAATATTTCCTTAATTCTTTTTGTATATATTAATTTCATTCTTTAAAGATACAAAATTTTGATATTTTATTAAGACATAGTTTCAATGAGAAATCGTATATTTATGTACTTTTGTAAATAAGCTAAGGAGAATTAACTTCACACCAAATATATATAATTTTTATTTTTAATTTATTGTCATTGTTCAGTGACGCTACATATTTTAAGATGTGACCTATTTATTTTGTTATATCGTATTATCGTATTTATTAAAATTAATTTGTGGTTGTGGGATGATTCAAGGTTGTATTTAAGCAATATAAAGATATTAATCGTTTTTTAAATAAACAAATAATGGAAGCCAAGAAAATATATGAATAATAATCAACAAGAATTGTGTCACTAAATGAAATATTTTTGTACAAAAATTTTATTTTTAATTTTTAGATCTTTAAAATATTACACGATTGTAATATTTCTCTAAGGTTTGTATTTCAAAACAATATAGCTTTATAATTAATACAAGTTTATATGTATTTAATTGATTATGTGACACAATTTTGTATTTATACAGGTATATTGTATTTAGAATCCATACATATTTACAATATTAAATTCTTAGGTCAGTCCACTTTTTTTTTAGTTTTATAACGTTTAAATATATATTATGCAATAAAAAATTGTTATAATACACACAATGTTATCATGTTTATGCTGCCATTTTATAAACATCCATGAATCATTTGACGAAAATATTAAATCACATTAAATGTAAGTTAAAAAAACAAACTGTTTTTTATATATTTTATCGATAACTCAGCAGAAAACTGTGATAAAGAAAATGGTAATTAAATAAAAATATTTTCTGTTTTATTTCTTTGTATTTACTCTATAATCGGGGCGAATTAGACCAAACATATGCTCGTTTCAAAAATCGGGCCTAACTCGAATTTTATGGGCTTAAAATTAAGCAAAAAATACATGAGATATACTTATCGATTTTGTTCCTGAGGAGCTACAAGGATAGTCTTTTACGAAAGCTTCCAAAATTTTTTTACATTGCAAAATTTTCAGCATTAAATAAAAAGAACAAATTTGACTGAAAACGGATGAAACTACGAAAAGATAACTGTTGGGGTGCTCAACAAATACCCGCATTCTGGACCCCCAATTTTAAAATGGCAGCCTACTGCAAAGTTATAAAGTCGAAAATGCGAGCACGTATATCTTCTGCCCAAGTCAAGATGTCGAAATTCTATAAAAAAGGATCAAAAGGTAATTACATTGTCTCACGTTTGCGAAAATTTAAGATTTTTAAGTTGCAAAATAAAAAAGTTATTAACAAAAAACCAAAAAAAAGAAACGGTAACTAGAGTCCTTATCTCGGCGATTTTTTAATATACAGATTTCAAACCAACTACATTAAAAACGGTATTCTCTGGCTGTTCTATTTAATATTTTGTAATAAACTGGGGCTCATTGTAAAGTAGAAGACTTCCTTTATACGCTAAATTTTTTTTTTTAATGGATTCAACCAAGAAATTACCAAGTATAAACGTGCATTAAAGACAGTGATCCGCGCGGCTGAGCATTAGCCAGGAGAGAGAAACGCTGTGACGTCATAGTGCCTATGCTGTGCCGGTCTTCTCAAAATCCTTACTTAATAAATGGATTGTGGCAATTAGAAAGAAGCTACTGGGATGCTTTTTTTTTAAATCAACTTATTTTTTGCGCTCTTTTGAATAGTGTAAGCCAGCGGTATTCAAACTGTGTTCTGCGGAACCCTGAGGTTCCGCACAACCCCTCTGGGAGTTCCGTGACTCAATAAAAACTTTTTATTTTTATAAGTACACAGCAAGTCGGCTTATAACTTATAAGCTGGCGCAGCGTTCTTCAAATTGGTTACGTCGCCTTTCCCTTGATTTTTGGCTAGAGATTTATAAGGAATATCCTGAAATTGCTGACTGGGCAATAAATGTAAATACCTTTTGCTACATACTACATACATGTGCAAAAAATCATTTTCCACGTACGTCGCGACAAAAACAAAGTATCGCAATGCGCCTAATGCAGAATTTGAAATGCGATTGCACCTTACGACAATAGCACCCGATTTTAACATATAATGTAAAAATATTTAAGCGCATCCCAGTCTCTGATTATATTTAAGTACTCTTTTTTTTTTAATTACTCGATAAATATTTACTTTAGACTTTAGTTTTTAATTTTTACTTAGTGGAATATTTATTTTGTTAATCGAGTATTTATAAGTAAAAAATGTGTTCAAAATTTTTTTTATGTGGGGTTCCTCAAAAATCGAAGTGTTGGCGGGTTCCGCAAGTCATAAAAGTTTGAAGACCCCTGGTGTAAGCAATAGTCTGTGAGTCATTGCCAGACCCAAAAAAGAATTTTTATAGACTTCATGGTTTATTTTGTAATTTCATTATGCTTTCGATGATTTAAAAAGTAAGAAGGCCTTTTTACATATTTAAAAACGAGTCAATTATTTTTTTGGAAAAAGTGATCATAATTTTTCTTTCTTTATTTAATGCTAATTTTGCACATTTTTTCCACCTAATTCACCCAGACTACTATTGCAAGCAGTCAAACTGTTTCTCACATTTATTTTTGTGATATACCTTTGTTTTTTATTTGAAATTGCCGTACATAACCACAGCTGAAGCCATTTTTTATGTGTATTTGTTAACAGGTTGTGATGAGGTGCAATTGAATAAACCAATGGTACAAAAATATTTTATTTAAAATCAAATGATAACATAACTATAAATATATTAATATTTATAATTGTAACACTATTTCTAACATTTATTTTATGGCTGTTGAGCTGACTTGAAGAATGTAATTAATCTTAACTTGTGCAATATTCGAACTCTTTAATTGCTAAGAGGGTTTATTTATTTTAAAAGCTTCTTGTTCAGTTTCCTTATCATTAAAATTATATTTACCACAGTTCGCATTGCTTAGATATACTAAAAAATTAGGATTAGGTACAACAATCTTTAATTCAAATCACAGAAGAACTACGAGTAGAAATAGGAAAATTTGTTTTTCATGTCAAGAGTTACGCATTCGTTATTAATGAAAGTAGTCTAAGTCTAGAATAGCACCCATAATAATACAACTTTCAAAATTTCTGTGATGAACAGTCAATTCAAACCCATTTAATAATACACAGAAAAAAAATTGTGAAATTTCTTTCATCTAACTCGAGAATCGTACTCGTAATTGGATGCAAAATTAACATATAATGGACTGATTTTACTGTTTTTAAAAAATTAAAATTTTGATAGTTGACGAACCACGTGGAAAATACAGTTTGCCCACCAAAATGACAGCATTAGTGCCTTGTTCAGTTTCAGTTTTACAGAAAATTTAAAAAACTATGAAGACATTTAATCATTTTAACAATTTCAAATGTCTTCCACTTAAGTCTTTCTGTAATGGTCGTTATTTGCTCAAATCTGGTAAGAATATAATATAACATAGAAATATAGTCTTTCCGATATCAACTGAAGAACCAAGAGGATGATCGTATGTACCAGGTTCGGTCACTGACACAGCAACTTGGCACTTAAATATTTGAATTTAATTTTTAATAATGTATTTTTTCCCATATTTATTTAGCCATACCCATACCCATATACAGGTCTGGTTGAACTAAACATGGAGGTGGAGAAATGTATACGCCCAGTTGAAGAATGCGAGCGTGGGCAAACGAAATACAAACAGCTGCATTGGGCCACTGGGCAATAAATCTCAGCTGTTGACAAGTGGTTGACAAATTGCCCAGCAGTGCAGAGCAGCAATGCGCAATTTAATGTGATTCAGGTAATACCTTCTATTAATCATTGATATTACAGTCGCGAAAGGGAGAAATAATATTATTACATGGCATTTTAGAGACCTTTTGAAACGGAACAAAACGAAATTTACCGTCGATATAATAAAATTGTTTGGGGACATAAATAATTAAAATATGTTGATAGTCAAATGAGCATATAATAGAAATTTTCTACACATTGTATACAAATTATTATAATTTTTTACCTTTAACAGAAAACTTTTTTAGGGACGCCTATGAAAGTCATTAAATTTTATTGCCAGGCGTTTTTTTACATGTTCAACTGACATCAGAAAGACTATACCAAGTATTGGTGTACAGAGTAGGGTATGTTCTAATCCATGTAAATCAGGACCATTCTTAGGTTTCTTTAAGTTTACAAGTAAATGTAAAAAAAAATTTCCAGGATTCTTATCACATTATCAGTACAATTGTTGGCCAGTCCACGTTGCTTAGATGTATTAAAAAATTAAGATTAGTTCAACAAAAATATCTCTTTAATGTGACATTTGCAAGATAAGGCAGATAACTATGGGAATTTGTCAGTTACCCACAATTTATGATGTAGCTTATCTTGAATTGGTACTTATGACGGATTCCAATTTTTTTTTTTTTTTTTGAATAACCATACAATGATACTATAATCGTATAAGTGTACAGCAAATAATGTCAAAAACTATTACGACTGTGAATTCAGTTTGAGGGATTTACAATAGATAGTGTAACTTATGCTGTAATTGTATCGGACACTTCTGAAACTATATTCAAGTCAAAGCTCTGCTTTACTTTTTCTTATGTGTCATTTAGCTGAAGTGTAAACAATATATTTTTTCTCAGCTCGGTAGATGTTGAATTGCAAACCAATAAAACACCATTTGGGGCGAGGTTTTACTTTTCCCGTTTAATTTAAAGAAAAGTTGCTGAAAGTCATCGAGTGGTTGGAAACAGTGAAAACTTGTAAGTATTGGTTTTGGCATTTTAGAAGTGATGATTCTGAGACTGTTGACAAAGAACGCCCTGACCAAAAATGTTCGAAGATGAAGAATTGGAAGCATTACTCGACCAAGATTCATGTCAACCGCAAGATGGATTTGCTGATTCTCTGAGTGCTGATCGGACAACAGTTTCCAAATGTTTAAATGCACTCGGTATGATTCAAAAGCAAGGAAATTAGGTGTCATATGAATTGAAGTTGAGATGTTGAGCGGCAAATATTCACATGTGAACAGTTGCTTCAACAGCAAAAAAGAAAGGGTTTTTTGTATCGTATCATTACCAGCGATGAAAAATGGATATTCTATGATAATCCTAAGCGTAGAAAACCTTGGGGTTTGCTTGGTCATGCTTCAACATTGAGGACAAGGCCGAATATTCATGGTTCGAAGCTCATGTTCTGTATTTGGTGGGACCAGCTTGGTGTACAGGGCGTTTTTAAATGAAGTAGTAAAAATGGTACCAGTGAATGTAGAGTCAAAAATAAGAGGATTCACATTTTAATTTATTTTCTTTAACATGATGAATACTTGAGACACGAAACTTGGTACGAGCATCCTACTAATAAAGAGACAATTTTTCAATATTTGTTCGATCATTGGCGTATTTTATAAAGGAGTGAAACAGTCAACCCCATTGCAATATTTTATTAGAAATTTTTTATATGAAGGAAATTATTTATTTAAAAATATTTATTGGGAAGACTGATTTATTGCACAACTTTTTTACCTCTTGTAATTTTTCGATAAAACCGATAGTTTTCTAGTAAAAAAATTAGATGCGTCATCATTCACTAAAGGGGTAATTGCGAAAATTTGTAAAAATAAAGTAGGCAGATGTTATAACAAATAAAATGTTATTTATCATATTAATAAATTGACACTTTCTGTCAATAAACTGGTAATTTAATAATAACATTAAGAATAATTTGCTATTAACTAATGAAAAATGTTTGATAACTTATGACTATGGGACATGTATTAGGTAAATAGTACGCGGGAGCGTAAATGGCTCGATCTGTTGTACCGACACCCAACTGTGCCATTTAAATGGATACAGTAGGGAGTGACCTGCTTATTACAGGTACGTGGCATGACTGCCACCCACAGAGGGCGAAGACAATGTTTTAATTGTCAGTGTTGCGAGAAACAACTACTCCAAGGGCTATATGCCCCTACCGGCATTGAATTATACTCGCAACACCTAGTGCAACAGTTAGGATCGTTCGTCAGTTTAACCCACCAGGCACAGACCGGTTTCGGACTTATTAGTCCTCATCAGTGTATCATAGGTGACACAACCGACGAATGATCCAGCTGTTTTGCGTCGTATCGTTACGACAAGAAAATACATTGTACACGGGAGCGCAAATGGCTCCATTAGGTAAAGTTATTTATCTGAAATAAAATTTAATACAAACGAAAAACAAGATATGCAAAATTAAATTTACAGTATATTCTCGAAATAATTTCCATTTTGCTGCAAGCATAACCTAATACGTCTGTTAAAGAAAAAAATTAAAATGTGAATTTCAATCCCCTCCTTTAAGAGGGTATATTGCCTCAGGGGTGCAACATTCATATAAGGTATTTTTACTTCAATCCTCTTATTTTTGGCTCTACATTCGCTGGTACCATATTTGCTACTTCATTTAAAAACACCCTGTATACTATGAGCTGCTTCAACCGAATGAAACCATTACTGATAAAAGCTACCGAACACAAATGATGCATTTAAACTGTGCATTGAAGGAAAAATTGCCGCAATTCGAGCAAAGGGCACGATAAAGTAATTTTTCAACGTGACAACGCTTGACCACATGTTGCACATGAACTCAAAAAATATGATAAAATGGAATGTTTACCCTACTCTGACCTTCATATTCTAGTACTGACCCTAGCAGATACGGATACATTTTTTATGTATTTTCAAATAATCTATATTTATATCCATAGAAATAATATATAAATAAATATTAATCTAAAATAAATAATACTGCAACAAGATATAACGTAGAATCAATGATAAAATATATATTGACTATATAAATAATAAAATCATCAAATACTTTGATGTAGTTGATATTCTTCATTTCTAATCAATTTTATCTGGTGAACTGCTCCTTCCTCATCTATATCAGTTTCTATTATCTCATTATTACTTATGATTTCTTGATCATTAGTCACTTCGCTATTGCTAGTGCTATCACACATTCCACATGCACCAAGAACTACTTCATGGAATAATGAAGGTTGATCCGCACTGATATGATGTCCCGCATTAGCAATGACCTGAAAAACAATAGAAGTATATAAAAACTTACGTAAAAATATTAGTTCCACAGAATTCTCACACTATTACATCAAGAAAAAAGACTTACTGCTATATCCACGTACGACTTAGGTCGTTGTTCTTTTAATATATGTCCAGGTGCTTGAGTTATCCAGGAGTTTTCTCCAAACATTACGGTGATTGGGATATCTTCCCTTATATTATCGAATCTATGTACCATCGGGTTTTTGGCCCACACGAAACTCTTTCTCATATAATGGAAAGCAGTCTCGCCTCTAAAAGAAACAAATGTTTGACAACTATGTAAACTCTAATTAATTTACTTACGATGGGTTTCTAGAATTACATTGGTATATATATTCTGCCATTATGTCTTTGTTTTCTAAAACGCTAGCATATTTTTCAGAAATATCATTTCGTACTTTACGTACTAACCAGGGACCTTCAAAAACATGGTATTTAAGATAAAATATCTCATTAAAAAGGGTTTGCAAAACTATTAAATTTAGACAAGCTCTCTCACTGAAGTAACAGACTGTTATTTTACTCACTACATATTTTGCGAAAAGTTACATATTTTTAGGATACTACATATTTTTTCAATCAAATATTGGCCAATTTATCTCTTGCTGCACTATAATTAAGCAAGTACAGATATCCCGATCATATTTTATCTTTGTCGGACATGTAGTAATGCGGCAAAGTTTATTATATGTATTTGGAAGGTACATTCGCTGAGACAATTGTTTAAATAACTTTCCATCACGCGCGCTCGCTATGGGACTGGAGCGTTGCGCTATGAAAATAACATCACGCTGTTGTACTATCTAGCACTTTCCGTGCACCTAACCCCCTATGCCATAGGTCCCATAACGACTGGCACTTGTGATAGAAAATAGTATGTGCAACTCGTTCGGAAAAGTTGCCATAGCGCCACTTGGGCGCTTTTCACACTCGCTTCGCTCGTGCGTCAACTGTGTCCACGTGGCGCTATTGGCAACTTTTCCCCACTCGTTACACAATGTACTATTATGTACTCATACATAAATAAAAGTATAGAATACACTCGAAGTTGCGCAAATCGTATAATGGCTGCCATTTTTAAATACCTAAAAGCTTGCAAATTTAAGAGAAAGCCGTTTCTTGCTCTAAGAGTGGCAAAATTGTAATGTAAAACTACTTTGTTTTAAAATAATTATTTTAGCTGTTTTATAAAACGTACATAATAAAAAAAATTACTATCCTGGTAAATTTGAAATATTTTTTAAAATCGTTTTAAAAAATCGTTTGTTACTTTATTTTTAAAACACTGAGTTTAATGAATCCCAGTGCCAATGATCTCTGACATGATGATGTTCATATGAACATATCAATCCACCCGATGTGATATAACAGGTCTCTAGGTGGGTAAAAAACAAACTGACAATGTTAATTTGGCAAAACCAGAATGGCCAATATGTTACTGCTTTATTTTAATATATTTATTTTAGTTTTCAGTATATTGGTTTACGAGGTGTTTCTCTGCATGGTGTCTATGTGTCTTTATTTAAAATTTATATTACAGGGTGTTATAAGTTTGACTGCCTTCATTTTAACAGACAATAGAATACAAATAGAAATAGAAATAAACAAAAAAACCTTATATGTCACTTGTAGTTCATTTTTACATACTAATTGTTGTTTATGCATTAAACTTTTTCTCAAATGGACTCCATAATCTTTTTTATACCTACAGAACCTCTTATAAAGGTTTCAAAACCGCAAATATTTTTCTCTTTTCAAGAAGTTAGGGCCTGCTTTCACAAAATTTCCAGTAGCAAACCTCAAATATTCAAACTCATAAATATTTTTAAAATTCCCTGACTATTCCCTGTTTTTTTATGAAGAATAATGAATTCCTTGACTTTTCTCGGTTTTGCCAGTTTTCCCGGCTGCTATGAACCCTGTGTGGGTACTTTAATTATATATTTTTAAAATTCATAATTTGATTAAAAGTTAAGTTCCTGTTTTAAGAGATTCATAAAAATGATGAAACTCCCCAATATTAATACTCCCTGTATTTTGAAAACTGTTAATCTTACGCCCCCATAATATACAACTTTTTTGTTCATTTATGATTACTCTATGTCATGCTGAAGTAATGGCAGTCAAACTTCTTACACCCTGTATAAAAAAAAATCTCAACAACCGCTTGCTCACCATATCATCAAGAAATATTGCTAAACATTGATATTGGTGATCAATGCTCATTTAAAAACTAGACAGCAATAAACTTGCTTACTGACATTTTTTAGTTGTTTACTACTCTAGTATAAGAGCTGCCTGCCTAACAGCTGGTTCATGTTAGAATAGATATTGCAGTTTTTATGCAAAAAATGATGGTTGGCCTGAATTCCCTAAAAAGTTCAAACAATTTCAATTTCACTACAAATTTCTTTGATTTGTGACAGAACTCCGGGTTAACATGTTATTTCTTCGGGATTTCTTTGTTGTGGAAAAATCGTGATTTCTTCAAAAACATTTCCCACATTTCCTGATTTTGTTCTTTTTTTCTGATTGCGTTCTTTTTTTTTTCTTCTTTTTTTAGACATCGAAATCAATTTGTCTCACAGATTTCCTAATTGCATTTTAGGCATCAATTATACAAACGGGTCATGTCTCCGGGTCTGAAATAGATCTGGTAACCCTAAGTGTGTGATAGCAGCAGAATCATTGAAAAAAGCAATTCCCATTAATAGGATTATACAATTCTATAGTTGTATTACCCCACGGTATAGACGGCACTGTTAAAAACAGTTTAAAGTGTTTTAAGTGTGAATCTACAAAACGCTGAATTTAATCTTGTTTTGGCTTATCCAATAGCTTAGCTTATATAACCAATGATCCAGGATAATCCAGAATGACAACAAATGATAAAATTTGGTAAAAATTACCTATAAATATTTTGTAATATTTATTTTTATGTGATAGTACAAGATCTCGACTTAGATCGACCTTCACCCATCGAGTTTTCTAATGAAATTTGAATTTTGATAATATAATGTAGTAATAAACAAAACTTGATTTGGTCTACATCCAATTTCCCTGTACAGCTATTTAAAAAAAAAAATTAAATTATTTTTATTTTCATGAATGTAGGTAGTTATTGAGTTTTTGGATAAATTTATTACCAATCGAAAGTAAAATATGTATACAATATGCCAAAAAGAAGAGTGCCAGAAGAAAGGGCCCAAGCCGGCGGGGCCCAGCCAGGACAAAAGGAGGTCCCACAAAGCGCCTACACTGGCCGCATTTGCGGTCGGGGTAGACGACGGATGGGGCCCACCTACGAAGTCTGTCCAGGCCTACACGAGATGAGGCAGGATAAAGAGGGATAATCCCCCTCGATCCCAAATCATTGAGGCCAATCTCTAGCCATGGAATAATGGCGAGTGTATAACAATATGCCAAAGTTTGGTCGACATTTTTGTTCCTTGCATAAAATCAGGAAGATAGGTATAAACAGGTAACTTTGAATTGAATTGAATTTTGAATTAAATTGAACATGAATTTTTTATTAAGAATAGCTGTGCAGGAAAATTGATTGTCGAGCAAATCAAGTTTTGTTTATTAATACATTATATTATCAAAATTCAAATTTTATTAGAAAACTCGATGGGTGAAGGTCGATCTAAGTCGGATTCTTAGACTATGAACAACAAAATCTACTACTTCTACCTACAAACACTACTTTTATGATTTCTCAAAAATATATTCTATTTACTCTAACATGAACCAACTTTAATTCTGTTATTAATTTGATTAATGAATTCCAATAGTGTTTATATTTAAAGTATGATGGTTTTTCGGATTGTTATGCTTTGGACTATGTACCTATATAGTTGTTGTGTCAGTCACGGTGAGGCATTTGTAGAGTCCCTACCGAAGATGGTAGAATTGCAAAACAATTGGAAACATTGGGTGTGACTAGTTACAAAGGCCACTACAGAATATCTTAGAGGATCACCACAGCTTGAGGAGAGGTTCCGTCTGTAGCAAATTGACAAGTACAAAAGTCGAAATTACAATTAGGGCAAACTTTAGGAATTTTAACAGCTGGTCCGCCCCCACAGAGCCTAGTCTGAGAACAGTAAGGATGGGTCAAAGATTTTTAGCTAAGGCTAGGAAGTGAAAGGAAATGGTGTAGTGAACAGGTACATAGACCACGATATAACAACGGGAAAAACCACATATTTTAAATATCAGCATGGGCTGTGAAAGCCTTGAAACCACTATTCCTAATAATGCTTTGCAATCCTGACAAAACACCAGACATAGAAAACAATACAATACCTATTGGTCCAGCAGCTCTAACTGTGGCTAGGGGATTTAAATGGGATAACGGGTATAACAATACACGCAGAGTTTTTATCCATAAAGGCGCTTCAAACTTGGCAGGCTGTTCTGCAAAACCCCAGGGGTCTGCCAAGATGAGATGTTTTACTCTGTCAGGATAATTTATGGCATAACTTGTAGCTAAATATCCGCCAAAACTGTGTCCCAATAAAATAAAATTTTCAATATCCAATTGTTTACGCCATGCCTCTAAAGACTGAACCATTTGCTGTTCTGCTTCAGTGCCATCGGTACTAAAAGTAGGCCTGGTGGAACGACCAAACCCTGAGGATACAGAACATTCCATAAAATATTAATATTTTACACTTCACAGATACAGTTAATCAGTTACTTTTGCAGTAATAATTATCAGAATGACTATGACTTTTTTTTATATTATCTCTAATTAGAAAAATAAAGTTATATTGAAATGCATGAATTGTTGTAGCAACTAAATAGATCATTATAAGCATATCCACATTAATGATATTTTAAGAATTTTTACTTTCGTATGCTAATTGGCAATATTTTGTCAAATTAAAACCATATATGGTTGACCTACCTAGTAAGTCAATGGCATAAACAGGTCTCTCCTTGGCTAGAGAATCGAAATTGAGACACCAAAAACCTAAAGCTGCTGCAAATCCATGTAACAGAACTATAGGGGTATTTTTTGACTCTTCGTTTAATAAAATGGTCCAAATTTTATCATCAGTACCAACGGTTGGTCCAATGGGAACAAACCAAGTTTTATAGGCAGTTTTTACAACTAAAAAAATAAGAGTATTTAGTATTGTTCTAGATGTTTTATGTAGACATAAAACAGCTTTTTTAAATTTAAAAAAAGCGGGTAGGTACTTAATTTGTCTATTAATTTATTTACCTTGTAGAATTTTCTTTTCCATCTCAACTAATTTGGCTTCAGAAAATTTCGTCCACCCACATTTTTCATTGTACTGCGTTGTATTTTCCATTTTTTTTTACGATCTTTACAATCAACTTATTTATTAATATTAACCCAACATTTTCAAAGTATACAATGACAGTTCACTTCGAGCCAGTATCATTTATCTAGGCTTCGAGCTTCGAAATGCAGATAATTATCTTATTGCGCAACGTATTAAATTGTTACTCAATTTAAATAAATAAATTGATATAAAGGATGACTAAATGATTTGATGGGATGATGATTTGACGTGTTAATTTTGAATGGTATAAAAATAAATAATCTCGATCATGAATGCCAGTAAGGTTGACGTTGACACTTCCGTGTTATGTAGGTATCTATGTATTATCATTATCCATTCGCTCTGCATATTCCTCAAAAGTCAAATCTATTTTCTTTATATTTTGAATAAGAATAAAATATTATGGTAAAAATGTTTGGTACAAATTTTATATTCTATTTCGATTTCGTCTTTGTATGGTAATGGTAGTAGGCAGAAGGAAATTTGCGAAATTAGTTTACGCTAATTTCTTGGAACATTTACGCAAAATACACAACCCGTCAAATAGATGGCGCTCCGTGATGAACAAACCATCTAAAGCCCCTCCTAAAAGACTTCAGACAAATCTATTTTATACATATAAGATCATGTAGTATTAAATATATGTATGTCAATAGGGGATAACTAAACTTATAGGGGACAACTAAATTTAGTGACTTTTAAATAGTGGTTCTTAAATAGTAGTTCCATTAGATTGATACTAGACTTCTTAATACTAGTAGTGATGATTTTTAACGCATCTTTCTCTTATTATGTAGCATATTATTCATCTCACTTAATTAATATATNTTCTTTTGTTTGGGTTTGCGTTTTATAAAAGCTTTGTGATATTTATCACCTTGGTGTCCTGATCGTTTAAATATTTCAACTGTAGGACCTAAGTCTTTAGATGTCAGTTCTTTTTTATACCGGGGCGTCAGTTTGTTACGATTTGAATTTTATATATATATATATATATATATGTTGTAGAGTTTCAATACTTTTTGTAGGTTTTTTGTATCTATTAAATAAATTAAAACGGTGAAAACCACGTCAGATTATTTTGTTTCAACTAATTGCAGCTCCCTCAACCTGTTGTTGCAGTTTAAAGGTCATGATTTGGCCGTTATTGATTTCTCATTGCCAGGCGAATGCCTGGCCTGCTATGATTTTTCATATGGTTTTCAGAAAAACTTGTCAGGGATTAATGGAACAATAACACCATAGGATTGAAGTTATTTAAGAAAAAATATATTTATTCATGCATATTTTTTCGGCTCGATGGACTTAAAAATGCAAAATAAAATGTAGTAATGTACATCTAGGATACCATGATTTATTCAAAACGGAACATGATAGAACTATTCTATTTTCCCAAAGAAAATTGTGTATCAAATTTGACAAATAAATATGTATTGGCTATCTCTTTTCATGGTGATAAACTTTTAAAACAAAGCAAAGTAGAACTGTAATGCCACAAAATCAAAAATGGAACACCTTAGGACAATTCTGCGTTCACAAGAAAAAATTTGTATGAAATTTTGAAAAAAATATTTTTTGGTTCTTACATAAGAGATTGTTGTGCCATTAGTAAACTTTATATCGTTACTGTTATATTAAACTTTTTTACTGTATTACATTTATGGCATCCTATATATGTACCACAAAATGTTGTTGCAGAATATTTAACATAGAATAATCATATGGTGTTATTTTTTTCTATAAAAAATCTAAAATATTTTTCTGAAAAATGCTCTAAAAAAATCATATAGTAGGCTAAGCATTTCTGGCAATATGAACCTAAAAGTTGCGAAATGACGACTTCATAGTCATACCTATAAAAAATAAATAATCTCACTTTTGAATCCACTAGTTTATGTATATTTAAGGCTGGCATTTTATAGACAGAAAATCACACTTTTACTAAGACAATGATAGAACAAGAAAATCCAACTAATCGATAAAAATGTTGAAATACGAGGATTCCTTTCACTTTTCACTGTGAAAGAACACGAGAGCGGCACCCATGTAAACATCAGAATATACCTTCTCTGTTTTGTCGAGAATTTTGTAAAAATAACTATCATTAATTCATGTGTTAATACTTTCATAAAAGCATTGTGCAGGGTAGAATTTAATTTATAGTACCGTACATGATTTTCTGCATATTCAACAGGTTAGGTTCAAGTAAAAATATGCATTTTTTCCTTTATTTTGCACGTATTGTCAACTTGTAGACTGTCCTATACCAAATTTAACATTTTTTATTTTAAATTAAAGGTTTTTTTTGGCCCTACAAGGTGATATTTTTTTCAAAACTCCCAGCCCAAAAGCAAAAATTTTATAAGGGTTAACTTGAAAAAATAATAAAGATACTGTTAGCGAGACCCCTTTGCAAACGCCCCCGAATCCGCCATTGGGCAGGGCAGGAGGCCACATACTTCCTATCCAGTATGTGTTTCTCCCTTTCGCAATTGTAATATAAATGATTGATAGAAGGCAAATAAATTAAAATTACCTGATTCACACCAAATTCCACATTGCAGCACTGCACTGCTGGGCAATTTATGAACCACTTGTCTGATGCGATTTATTGCCCAGTAGCCCAATACAACTATAACGTTTTCTTTTACCCTTTTTTTAACTGAACGTATACATTTCTATCATCAACACGTTTAGTTCGACCAGACCTGTTCATCGGTATGGCTAAATAAATATGGGAACAAGTTTTTCAAATATTTCAATGCCAAATTGCTGCGTAGCAACAGAGCCTGGTACATACCTTGAAGTTATTGGTTCTTCAATTGACTTCGGAAAAACTATATATTANACTTTTTGTAGGTTTTTTGTATCTATTAAATAAATTAAAACGGTGAAAACCACGTCAGATTATTTTGTTTCAACTAATTGCAGCTCCCTCAACCTGTTGTTGCAGTTTAAAGGTCATGATTTGGCCGTTATTGATTTCTCATTGCCAGGCGAATGCCTGGCCTGCTATGATTTTTCATATGGTTTTCAGAAAAACTTGTCAGGGATTAATGGAACAATAACACCATAGGATTGAAGTTATTTAAGAAAAAATATATTTATTCATGCATATTTTTTCGGCTCGATGGACTTAAAAATGCAAAATAAAATGTAGTAATGTACATCTAGGATACCATGATTTATTCAAAACGGAACATGATAGAACTATTCTATTTTCCCAAAGAAAATTGTGTATCAAATTTGACAAATAAATATGTATTGGCTATCTCTTTTCATGGTGATAAACTTTTAAAACAAAGCAAAGTAGAACTGTAATGCCACAAAATCAAAAATGGAACACCTTAGGACAATTCTGCGTTCACAAGAAAAAATTTGTATGAAATTTTGAAAAAAATATTTTTTGGTTCTTACATAAGAGATTGTTGTGCCATTAGTAAACTTTATATCGTTACTGTTATATTAAACTTTTTTACTGTATTACATTTATGGCATCCTATATATGTACCACAAAATGTTGTTGCAGAATATTTAACATAGAATAATCATATGGTGTTATTTTTTTCTATAAAAAATCTAAAATATTTTTCTGAAAAATGCTCTAAAAAAATCATATAGTAGGCTAAGCATTTCTGGCAATATGAACCTAAAAGTTGCGAAATGACGACTTCATAGTCATACCTATAAAAAATAAATAATCTCACTTTTGAATCCACTAGTTTATGTATATTTAAGGCTGGCATTTTATAGACAGAAAATCACACTTTTACTAAGACAATGATAGAACAAGAAAATCCAACTAATCGATAAAAATGTTGAAATACGAGGATTCCTTTCACTTTTCACTGTGAAAGAACACGAGAGCGGCACCCATGTAAACATCAGAATATACCTTCTCTGTTTTGTCGAGAATTTTGTAAAAATAATTATCATTAATTCATGTGTTAATACTTTCATAAAAGCATTGTGCAGGGTAGAATTTAATTTATAGTACCGTACACGATTTTCTGCATATTCAACAGGTTAGGTTCAAGTAAAGATATGCATTTTTTCCTTTATTTTGCACGTATTGTCAACTTGTAGACTGTCCTATACCAAATTTAACATTTTTTATTTTAAATTAGTTTTTTTTTGGCCCTACAAGGTGATATTTTTTTCAAAACTCCCAGCCCAAAAGCAAAAATTTTATAAGCGTTAACTTGAAAAAATAATAGATACTGTTAGCGAGACCCCTTTGCGAACGCCCCCGAACCCGCCAATGGGCCGGGCAGGAGGCCACATACTTCCTATCCAGTATGTGTTTCTCCGTTTCGCAATTGTAATATAAATGATTGATAGAAGGTGAATAAATTAAAATTACCTGATTCACACCACATTCCACATTGCAGCACTGCACTGCTGGGCAATTTATGAACCACTTGTCTGATGCAATTTATTGCCCAGTAACCCAATACAACTATAACGTTTTCTTTTACCCTTTTTTTAACTGAACGTATACATTTCTATCATAAACACGTTTAGTGCGACCAGACCTGTTCATCGGTATGGCTAAATAAATATGGGAACAAGTTTTTCAAATATTTCAATGCCAAATTGCTGCGTAGCAACAGGGCCTGGTACATACCTTGAAGTTATTGGTTCTTCAATTGACTTCGGAAAAACTATATATGAGCCGAGATATGGCTAAAATATGGAAACACAAAATTTTTAGTTAGGTTTGCATTTTTTGGGCTGAAAATTTACACAACTACCATTTTTCATGCTGAACACGTCAGTATTTTTTTCATCTCGATTCACTCCAGGGCAATTTTCACTATTTTATCCGGCTAGGCCCTTTACGGTTTCGAACATGCGCACTCTTGAATTACATAGGCCGACAAAATTTTACGAAAGTCCAGAATCAGAGATCGAATCTAGTGTACCCGAAGGATTTTGGTGCGCCGATTACGAATCCGAGGTCAGAATTGGTCCATCACCCTAGGTTCTCGCTATATTCTAACCTAAAAACGCAAAAATCGCGGTTTTTAGCTATATTCGGGGTCAGATTACGTGAATTAATTTTTTTTCTAAAATCACGTTCCACCATCTCGAAGTACCACTCTTACCCTTCTAAGCGCACTTCGATTTTCTTTGAAAATCTTTTTTCCATAGAGATATGATAGATTGAAGTTTAGTACTTCAGCAACTTCGTTACAACACGGAAATAAACAAAATTTATCCAAAAACGAGATATAAAGTATTTATATATATATTTTTCTCGAGTCGCTGAATTTGAAAACACCAGCGGACCTGCTCCATAACCTCAATATTTCAAGATTTTCTAACCTAAAATTGAGCAGATACCTATGTATATACACCGTCACATTCGGATGCTAAGCTAATGACAGAGTCATCATAATGCGCTATAACCTACCACACGTTAACCTAAATGCGCAGTAACCTACGAGCACCGAACCTTGGTACTAAACTTCAATCATCTCTATGGAAAAAAAAATTTTCAAAAAAATCCAAGTGCGCTTAGAAGGGTAAGAGTGGTACTTTGATGGTTTAACGCGATTTTGGAAAAAAAATTAATTCACGTTGTAATCTGACCCCAAATATAGCAAAAAACGGCGATTTTTGCACTTTTAGGTTAGAATATCTCGAGAACCTAGGGTGATGGACCAATTCTGAGCTTAATTAATACGTTTTTTTGAAACTCGTCTTAAATATAGAAAGTATATACGTATAAATACAATATAAAACCGAAGTGACAAACAAACATGATGAATCTGTTCAAAATAAGTGAACATAAAAATTTAAAATAAATAAATATTTATGGGTTATGGTTATTCAGTTACGATTCACTTCAACATTTTTAATCTGTTCGCAGATCACAAAATTTGAAATCGGTTAGATGTAGATAATCAAATAAAAAACGACTTGGTAATTATACAATTTTATTATACAGGCTTCCAAACAATATGCAATAGCGTTAACACATCAGTCTTACATTTACATATATATAAGCAATTAATAGCAATAACATATCTTTAGCTTAACCAGTAAGATTATACTTTACCTCCTTTTAACAAATATTGTGGATATACATCTAATTTTTCCCATACGATGCTTCTTTATGAAAATATATCCAATAAAATTTACACTACATAGACATTTAGGCAATCGATATTTAAATAATCTCATAAGCAACTGTTGCCTTACACGCTAACTTAGACGTACACTGTATAATATTTGTTTGTTGTATAAGAGAGAAATATCGAAAATGCAGATAGAAGAGTGCCTTGATATGCATTTCAAATTTAAAAATGGTTTATAGCAAAAATACCACAGCAAGATAAGAATTTTGACTACGTTATTTGTCTCTTCTTGAACTACAAGTGAAAAAACTAACTAAGCTTGGAAAAATATCTCGTATAAAAATGCTACCTAAATATTTTGGTCTGGTACACACAGATATGTGTTTCTTGAATGTAAGATCAAGCGGCAATCATAAAAACTAAATGGCTACATCGAAAATTACTAGTCCTTAAGATCATAATTTTCAAGAGAGCACCATTAATATAAAATTACATAAATATTTTTAAATTTACAATAACAGATTACGTAAATGACACGAAATTTAACACAAATCACACTACCATTAAAAGAATTAAAATCATTGGTCTCGTTACAGACTTTTTTTCTTAGTCTATTTCCTTACATTAAAAAATAACACAGCTCGGATAAAATGGGTCAGTTGTATGTATGATTATTTCGAGATCTGCCTGACAACTGTTCAAAAATCAAACTGGAAAAGACAAATTGCAAACAATAGATGATAAAATATAAGCAGAACTGGATTTTATGTTATTTCGATAGTAGGAATGGCGAGAGAAATTCAACTCGAATTTTCCTTTTTGGAATCTGCAAAACAAATAAACACTCAATTATTCCATACATACTACTCTAAAATGAAATATAGTTTATGGTGAGTAGGCTAAACTACAATGAGAATTACAATTATGTTACTTTTTGAAAGACGTTGCACAAGAATTTAATTCGACATATTGCCCTAGAATAAAAACTGGCACAATTAATTGAAAACGAGAAAGGGAGTGACAAAAAAGTAGATTTTTTATTGCAGAACACATTTAATCAGATGGTATGTATTTGTTATAGCTGTTCTACATTGACAATTTATTGATGAATAAAATGACGAAGTTCTTCATGAATTAATTCACGAATTTATTGGTAAACAGTGTGGTTTTACACTGCCACAGACTTTATCAAGTTTTTTGACGTATGAATCAGTTCTACCAACGAATCAAAGAAGCAAATAAATTTCAAAAATGTCACCTTTCCACTCATAATTGAAGTGATACAACAGCGGTACCATTCTGACACATATTATATAAATATTAGTTTTTGTAAGTAACAAATCAGTAAAAACAATGCAAAACTAGTACGACACCACACAATTATTTACATATTCCAATAACATAACCTCATTACTGATCTGAAGCTGGAAATCTGTTGGGTTGGTACTTCTGAACTTCACAAAGAAATTAACGAAAATTAGAACATGCTCTAATTCGTCAAGAACTTGATGAATAAATTCATGAAGTTATTTAACAGCAGATTTGGTGCATTACACTTGTCCAATTTTTTGAAGAAGTGACTTCATGAATTAATTGATCAATAAATTGTCAATGTAAAACAGCTATTAGATACTAAATTATTACACTTTTTTCTAGATATAGCAAATTTAATGTTCATTTAGTTACGCTTTTTTCTTAAATTGTACAGTGCCAGTTAAGAGGCAATATCTGAGTAGAAAAAATTTTTTTTTGTTCGTCTTAAGAATATTGTTCATAAATTGCAGATTGAAATTCCAATAATTTTGGAAGTTATGGGCAATTTGCACTCGCGTACAATGTATTTCCTTTTCGTGCTGATACGACGAAAAACAGCTGGAACGTTTGTTGGTTGTCGCACCTACGACACATTGATGAGAACTAATAAGTCCGAAACCGGTCTCTGCCTGGTGGGTAGACTGACAAACGATCCTAGCTGTTGCACTAGGTGTTGCGAGTATAATTCAATGCCGGTAGGAGCATATAGCTCTCGGAGTAGTTGTTTCTCGTAACACTGACAACACAAACAATTATGGGCAATTTACCAGAATGCTTGAGGCACCAGGGTAGGAAGAAACACTGAGCAGCATTGCAAGATCGAAGATGCGGAACATCTGCGTACTGCCAAAGTCAAAACTCATAACGTGAACCTGTGAAAGGAGGATTCAGCGAAGGTAGTCACGGATCACTGCAGAAGATGCTGCCAGTGCTGCGGAGGGCCTACTTTATGGTCTAGCAATTGCAGATTAACGGTAAGTAAAAAAAGTTTTTTCAATATACAGGGTGTTTTTTTTCGATGTTTAGTGTACGGATCTGGCAAAGTAGCAGAGATACAAAAACGCTTAAATGAAGAGAGATGTGCAGTTTTATGATCCTTATTAAATGTTACTTTTGTTGTTTGAAGAAACATCATGGCTGACTAGATATTTGGAAAAATCCGAATTCGGCCAAGTTCTTCAGATGCTACATTACAAAGTTTAAATTTTTTTTGCAGTGTTAATAAAATAGTGTGATCAAATTGTTCGTGTTCAGTTTAGTTTTCAAATTATAACATAAACTTAAAATTTATTAAATGTAAACCATAGCTAGAAAAAATTGTCTTTTTTTATGCTTTCCAACAGTATAATATTCGGTATTGTTATTTTGAAAAAATGGGAGAACTGCAGCCGTTTTTAACTTTTCAATTTCTCGGTGACGTAGATGGCTGTGAAAACAATCGAAATGTTTACTGAAAACGCGTTTAGTTACTGTAGCATTATTTGAGTAACTTTTTTTTTGAAGTCGTTTCAATTGCTAAAGACAATGAATTTTTCAAATGAGGAAGCGTGATATTATTAAGTGTTATATTCGTTCAGAAAGCTTTTGACAATATTGATAGGCGTTCTGTGAGAAAAGCCTCAAATTTTGTTTCAAAACCATGTATCTTGTGCATTAATAAAAACGGTGGGCTTTTTCAACAATTTCGTTAATATCTTTAAAGTAAATAATAAAATTCTGATATTTTTTGTGTCTTTGTTAAGTATTTCATTTTCTTACCACAAATGATTTCCCATCATTATAATTTAAATTCTTTCCAAAAATAAATCTAGTTGTTACTTATTGTTTTATTTAAAATATGCCAGTCGCGCACTGCGCCGGTGCCCTGACACATACAGAGGTGTTCACGCAATGCCGACTTCAATTGTTCTGATTTTATCCGTTGGATTACGTATTATTTTCACAGCCATCTACGTTAACGAGCAACTGAAAAGTTACAAACCGTTGTAGTTCTCCCATTTTTCAAAATAACAATACCAAATATTGGAAAACATAAAAAAAGGCATATTTTCTAGCTCATAGCTACGTATGGTTTACATTTAAAAAACTTGAAGTTTGTGATATAATTTGAAAACGAAAGTGTACAACTAGGGTGACCAAAAAAAAAACAAATATTTTTTTCGTGTCTCTTGTGAAAATATGTTAGTTTATCATGTTTTGAAGAGCCTTCTCAAAAAATCAGCTCAAAAAAAATTTTTTTAGAGGTCGCTCAAGAATTTTTAAAATTTCCAAAATCGTCAAATATTGAATTTTAAAATAACATTTTTTTCTTGTTTTATCATTTTCTAGGTTGAAAAAAATCTCGATTTTGAAAATTTGAAATCAATATTTTAATTTCTAAAGGTCACTCATAATTATTTTATCTTTCAAAGTAGTGTTTTCAAGCGACCTCTAAAAAAATAAATATCAACGAACTAATAATTTTTTTTATTGTATTTGATGAACAAAAGAATCGAAATAAGACACTTAAATTTTAAAAAATAAAAAAATTATAAGTATTTTATACTCAGTGCGGTAGTAAATTTTGCCTCGAGAAATTTTTTAAGTGTCGTGATTTATTTTTATTCTTTTGTTCATCAAATTCAATAAAAAAAATTGTTAGTTCTTTGATATTTATTTTTAGAGGTCGCTCGAAAACATTTTAGGTACGCTACCTTTAAAGTTAAAACAATTATGAGTGATCTTTAAAGATTAATATATCTATTTGAAATTTTCAGAATCGAGATTTTTTCAACCTAGAACTTATAATAAAATAACAACAACAAAAATAAAAAAATTAAACTTTTGACGATATTGGAAATTTTTAAATATTGACCTCTAAAAAATTTTTTTTTTGAGCTGATTTTTTGAGGGGACTTAAAACATGATAAACTAACAGATTTTCACAAGACACAAAAAAATTATTCGTTTTTTTTGGGCCACCCGAACAAATTGATCACATTGTCTTATTATCACCACAAAAAACTTAAACTTTGTAATTTAAATTTTTTTTGTAAAATAAATAGCAACACATCTGAAAGAATTGGCCGAATTCAGATTTTTCCAAATATCTAGTTAGCCATGACGTTTTTTTTAAAATAAAAGTAACATTTAATAAGGATCAAACTGCACATCTTTCCTCATTTAAGGAGGTTCGATACCGAAAAAAAAATGGTAAGAAAGTTTTCAAAATCATTGAAACCTGTTAATAAATATTCCAACTGGCTCGTGTAAAAATATCAGATCGATGGCCAATACAGTTTTTTTGAAAAATGATATTAAAATGGATGGGGAAAATAAAATTCTAATTAAAGAATTAAATATTACTAAACATTTTAAAACAATAAAAATATGCACTTACAATATAATTATTGAGATAATGGAATGAATATATAACATTCTGACAAATTTGAACAAACATCTGATCCAATAAAAGGAAATATGGCAACACTGTACGCTGTATTTAACGCTTCGACTGATGCGCTATATTTGAATAGCTCGATTATAGACTATATAATTATTCTAGTAGAAAACATATGTAGTAATAATTAATATTAAATAAATTTTTCGTGATCTAATGCAATATAATAGCAATTTGAAACAAAAATTGAAAGGATTTCGTTGCAAAACGAACAGTATAGATCAAGGGTAGACAACTGGCGGACCGCGGTCCAGGTCCGGACCGCGGAAGGTAAAATACTGGACCGCCAAAAATTTTTTGAAAGTATAAATTACTTAAATAAATTATTTAAAAAATGTTTTTTACGTTTGAGTACCAACGTTATCATTTTTTCTAGTATTTTACAATTTTGTGAGTGTTTTCAATTCTTAATGGTTAGTAAGCAGATTAAATTTGAGTCCAAATTAAAATAAAAAAATAATATGAATTTTATTTGGACCTCGATAAAAATTTTCAAAAGTATCCGGACCCCACCTAAAATTACTTGCCGACCCCTGGTATAGATGTTCTGTCATAATCTTCAATTTGACAAGGCGACGTATCACTGGTACCACTATCATCCACTGAGCTGTTTTCACTTATTTCTCATCAATCCACATTCTGTTTCATACGAATTTTATATTGCTTTTCAGTCATTACTTTTCCTTTGTATCTTAGATGTTCATTCAGGTTTACGGAATACGTGCAAAGCACAGTTGACAGTAATGACAGTTGACCCAACTTTTACCACCACGCCATGGCAGTGGCAATGATGCCAGATTTCTTCCATAATTTTACAAGCTCTTAATGAATAAATAGACACTTTTATTCAAATAAAAAGTTAATTTCCGTGCATTAAACACAAAAAATATATGCAAGCTAATATGTGTTGTATAAATTTCATTCGTATATATATTATATTTAGTTCGCTCAAATTAGTTTATGTAAAGTTGGTACTACAACGAAACTACCGTGTATAAGCATAGGCTTCCCTCCCGCACCGCCTGCCCCGCAAGAGATGTATTATGTATTTATTAAATTTTTTACAAAATACTATTTTCCAAAAAAAATTCTACAAGTTTGGAACTTGAACAATATCATGTAAATATTATCTTGATATTCCAAGAACTGTAAAAGTTATGGATGATTCATCAAGGAAATGACAAATGACCAAGTTCTCAAGCACATCAATTCTTTACCCAACGTCAAACACGATTATCTCGAGACATACTATTCAGACAGTTCCCAAAATATTGGTAAAACAGCTCGTCCGATTGCTTCCAAAATTAAATACATTTTCGAACAAATTTCCTACTTTGAAACAGGATTTTTTTTTATCAAGCTAGAAACGTTGGAAATTAAAGTTGAAAAATTATTGTAGAGTTCAATCGACCGCCATTTCGTGAAAATTTTTTTTTTTAAATCCTAAATTTTCAATTTACTCCTCGAATTTTCCCCACTGATTGTACATCAGCTTTAGCTTATCGTTCTCGATCTCGTTTACAGTTGATTGTGCAGCTGTCTTAAGATGCAAAAATGCCAACGTTTTATTTTAAAAAATATTCGAAAAGCATAACTAAAAAACGTTACATTGTTAATTTATTATCGGAAGATGTTTAATAAAATTTCACATTTCAAATCTTATTTAGCTCTAAACTAGGTTTCGATTCATATTTTTTGCACTAACTTTCCAATACTGAAACAGTCCATCTTGTACATTTTAAAATGCCTGTATTTGTCTTCAAAAATATACCTGCTGCGTCCTACTGAAAATATGTTAAATTCAAAGAAAAATATTTACCCTGAAATTTCTTTCCTTAACACATTTATCTTCTAAAACCGCTTGATTGTATTTTAATCGATAACAAGTATTTATTTCCTAACAATTAATAGTACATACAAACGTTATCCATGTTAAGTTTTAGGATAACTTCTGCTTGTACAAAACATTTAGAGATCATTAAACCATACAACTGTATTTTGACACCTAGAAATTTTGATTAAATCCTATTTGTTACTTTTGCGATATTATTTACCAATTGATTTTTGAAGAATAAAAATTATAAAGCTCATCTAAATTACTTATTTCCTACCAGATTCTCCGGCTGAATCACCGTTAGTGAGAGTTTCCTCCTTTTTCTCCTCCTTCTTTTCTTCTTCTTTCTTCTCCTCGGGCTCTTTCTTTTCCTCAGAGGATTGCTTCTTCTTGTCCTCCTTGCTCTTGCCCTTGGCTGGAGTGGCTGGTTTGGGCTTAGGTTCTAGACTGGGGTCCAAAATGATTTTACCTACGTTTTTGCGATCGTGCATTTTCTGCATAGCTTCCGCTACCTTTAAATACATAATTAATAAAATTAGTCAAAGAAATATACTCGCACGGATAGTGATTTAACTCACATCTTCCAATGCCCATGTGGAATCGAGCAGGGGCTTGATTTTGCCCTCCTGGAATAATTTAAAGACTTTTTGGACGGTGTGTTTGACGTGCTCCTCTCCATTCTGTTGATACATCAAACGCCTCAAGTTGAAGCCGCATAAGGTGCGATTTTCATCGAAAAGTTTCAAGGGAGAAACTTTATCGACTTGCCACCACTGGAACAATGAAAATATTCATGCATTTTTTTTTAACCAATCTTTTTTACATATGCATAATGAAAAAATTTTGTATAATGTGTATATTTTGTGTACTTTTATTGTAGTCATAACTATTATGTTTCTAAAGATAATTTAAGTGCATTTTTAAATTGTATATTTTTTATTTTTAATTATATTTTTTATTATATCTTTTTTTGGTTTCTTCATGAACAGTGCATGTGCACTTATATGAAGTTTTGTGATTTATTTGCAAACTTGCCTTTTTACAGATGACTATGTTTTTTGTATTTTTTTAGTAAATAAACCCTATTCTATTCTATTTACACGCATGTCCCAGTATGAATACGACAGAGTAGTTTTCGAAAATGACTAGCGACTAAGGAATATGTCTTAATTTCAGTTGTTCCATGACCATGTAAAACTTCACGTGCAATTCAGGACTTCTTGTACAATTTGATGAGTATTTTTATGCAATCCTAATTTTTTTGTCCTCAAGTATTTGACAATTTCAACTGAATATCATCATATTTTATCCTCATTTCTAATTAAGAAAAATTATATTTTTTGTTTTTTTTTTATAATATCTTGAAAAATAATGATGGAATTGTCTTACTCTCAATGGGACTTTTGTAGAGAATAAAAAAGCTATAAAATGGTTTTTTGTGCGACCCGATCGGTTCATTTTTTACAGAGAAAATTTAGAAAAACCTCTAAAATAGACCTTTTTTAAAAAATTCATAACCATCAAATTTGAAACTGGAAAAACAATCTTGTGGAAAATGACAGATAATAATATGTAGTTTAATAGTGCGCAATAAGATGGCTTCTGTCCGATGTAGTTTTTGCACAATTGCATTATAAAAAATTAGGGTATTTTTTTGCACAGCATGGCGATTTATCAAAAATGGTCCGATTTAAATTCTGAAAATGGCATCTGAAAGTAGACGATAAAATCTCCAATTTGTTTATCTCTGATTTTTGCCTGGGTGATGGAATATGCTAAAAATTCCCTCGAGTCGCCCGAAACGATCGAAAGTACGCTATGGGATATCAATACTTTTGTTTCGATACTTTACTAATATCGATACTGAGAGAAAAGTATCGTATCATATTTTAATTGGATTTACGTTAAGCTTATTTTACTTTACAAATGCCATGTTTCAATGATGATGCACACAGATGAAGAGGATGGGAGAACTGCAATGACAATATGATGCAATTGTAAAGGGCAGATTGAGGCTATAAATAATGTTTTATTTATTAAATATATTTTTTGTTGTTGCTTAAATGATAATTAATTATTGTTCATTACAGATGTTCTTAAAGTTGCATAAAGTATACAGAATCGTGCGTAGTGTTCTCTGAAATGTCCAGGTTACAATTTTTAAAAAAAATTTCTCGAAAACTAGTGAGAGTAGGAAAATTTTTGTGACTATTTGGGTATTTTTGCTATAGTAAATAATCACAATTTCTTGTTTTTTTTTTTAATTAAAATTTTGTCTAAACATCTTTGTTTCTTACGTTTTTTGTTTTTGTTCATGGAACACTGATGTAAATAGAAGTTGATTATTTTTAGCAACCGATATTTAGTATTGATATTTTAAAGTATCGATACTCTTTGTTTCGATCTGAGTAGGTATTTGAAAATTGATTTCGATACCGATACCAATATCAAGTATTGATACTTTCTTTTCAATTCGTATCCCTACGTTCGAGCCAGAGAACTGCGCTCGCTGCTTCCCCCACTGCCGTGTGGAGATTGTTTTTTCAGCTTCTAATTTGATCGAATTATAAATTTTTGAAAAAAGGTCTATTTTAGAGGTTTTTTCGGATTTTCTCTGTAAAAAATGAACCGATCGTTTCCCACAAAAAATCATTTTATAGGTGTTTTATTCTCTACAAAAGTCCTATTGAGAGTAAGTCGATTCCATCATTATCTTTCGGGATACCTATTATAAAAAAACAAAATTTCATTTTTTTGCAGTTTTTATTGTTTAAAAAAACTGTATACGACTTTGCTGGGGAAATCACTTGGATATTTTTCAAAAGGTAATACATGAAATTTGCTGTAATATTTAAGTGTGCCAAAAAATCTCTATTGATCGGCTTTTTGGTAGTTCAAAAAGCTGTAAGTTCTTTTTTGGCAATAATTAAATATTGTTACTTTAAGTTTTAAAGCAAAGGTTGAAATTAATATAACTGAAGGTAACTAACATTAAATAGGTATAGCCTTTTATTTAAGTCATGATAATAAGATATGAATTACAGGACAAGTGGTACCCCTATATTGCTATATCAAAATATTGGACACATTGTTTATTGTCCAAAAACCTTCAATTTCTGATTAATATCTTAAAAATCCCCTTAGATACTGCAAAAATTCAAAATAAAAATTGTGACTCTTTGTAATGTTTGGTTAAACCGTAATATTTTTGTGTGCCAAATTCCTATTAATTATGGGATTATTATAATTTGATTTTTGAATGGTTGACATGACACATTGTATCAAAGTGAAAACAATGTTCTTTTGTAATTTGTATTCTTCCAGGAAAGAAAAGTTTTATCCCTATATTGTTCATAAAAATAGAGTTGTAAAAGAAACTTTATTGATTAAAGAAAGATATTTATGATTGGTGGGCATCCAGCAGACTCCTTTTATTACAGTAGATACAATTCAGTACTAAAGCAATAAAACTTAAGATAAAGAAAACATGCTCTACAAAGGAATAAAACAAAAACAATAATAAAACTAATTCTGACTAATATCCTGTTAAAAAAACAAATATATTTGTTGTAAAATTCAACAATATCATTTGACTGATAATTACTTTATATGAAAACAAAAGCACATAATTTTAATTAATCTATGGAAGAAACTCTTATGTATCTGTTAATTGTTAACCGTATTCGATAAAGTTGTTTTGTCTTTTAAATATTTTCAATTCGGAATTTATATAATAATAAAGTTGTACAAATATTTTGTTTGACGGACAGAGGTCAATTGCAACACATTGTTTTAGATAATTAGAATTTGAAATCATGTATTTTGAAAACCAAAATAAATATTGAATTAAATATATTTTCTTCACCAAAACTTCAATTTTACTTATTATTTTACATTTATGAAAAAATGTGCCATTCATATATAAAAATATGTCAGCTGTGAACCAAAAAAAGTTTCCTAGTTAAACAGCTTTATAAAACAGGATTTTATTAGGTTCATTCTTTAAACTCATTTGTTGTAGGTATGTCATTTTTTTTGTCCACAGCTGTACCCAGATATATTATTATTTTGAATTATACTTACTGCGCGAGCTGCACTGAAGAAGCTCTTCGTTTCTCCAGTAACGACATTGGATGATCCATACAGAACGTATTTGCCCATAGGTTTCAGCAAATTGTAACCCTTGTTACATTCCTCACCACAGAGACAATCTAGGACGATGTCAACACCGTCTGGGGAGATCTTGCGGATTTCACTGACATAATCTGAGCCCCTTTCGATCAAATGGTCGATTGGGGAGTTGGCATTTTTAAGGGCCTCATGCTTACTCTTGGAGCAGACTCCGAAGATGGTGACATTAGGAACGGTTTTGGCCAGTTGGACAACCGCTTGGCCCTGAAAATGAAAAAAAAAAAAAACGATTTGATTAAAAAAATAGGAACGTTACTAAAATTTTGTAAGGAATTACATTGGATAAAAGAACATACCACCATAATAACCTACAGGATGTTTTAAAACAAAGTATACTATGGATTCTAACATAATATTAAAAGATAAGTTTTTTTTCTATGAGGTATATGCCTATATTTAGCTCTGAAAATCTGAAAATAATATAAAGGGGTTTAATAAAGAGAGAAATATACAAGGTGTGATAGTATCAGCACCCTACTTCTCAAAAGTATTGACTAATACTTGTGGAACTTCTGATTGTTCATACTTTATATTTTAGTTGCATGATTCCACCAATATATCTTCTATAATTATTAAGCTTTACTATTTTATTTATTATTATACTTTATTATTTCATGCTACACATTATAATATTATTTGAATTAATTGAATTTCACTGAAGATAATTTACTTGATTCAACAATTTTTGAAACGTTTTGAAATACATTCTTCAGAAGAAACTCTGACACTAGATTAGAGCTTCTGGTTGGTATTTATATTTGTTGCATGCACCAGTTTTTAACAAATCTACTGGCGTTCATCGTCTTGTAGAAGAGGAGTACTATTAAATATGACAGTATAAAATATAGAAGACAAAGACTATGTGGTTTGTGGCTATTATTAAAATTCCTAACAGCAAAACATACTCTCAGATTATTCCATTTTAGATTATATCCAAAATATTTTGCTTTGTTTATTTTATTTATACAGAGTGACCCAGAACAACGGAGGACCATAGATTCGTGGACTCAAAATAGGCAAATTTAGGCTAATTCACCTATATCGCTTTATTTGGCCGCTAGATGGCCTCAAATTTTTTGAATTTTGTAAATAACTCGAACACGAATTAACTGACTTTGATTATTTTTGGGGTGTGGACTTTTGCTTTCAATCTACACATTTTGGTGCTATACAGATTGTTTTTTAACTCTCTTTCAGGCAATAATGACAACCATTTTGTAGCTGATAGGTGATACGATTTGGAAGTTTTTGGGCCTCTTATAGAATTTGAATTAAATGAACGGTTTGGGTACAAAAATATTTTTTAAATATCTACATTATTGTGCCACCCATATTATAATAGTTAACAAAGTGTTAGTAGGCACTGATTTTGTATAGGTTGACTGTCATTTCAGTCTGATCTTTGTACGTGACAATTCTTAGTGAGTGTTTACGACGATGAGATATACCTATTACTTCATTTTTCGATATGGATACACACATACGACGAATTAGAATTATTTACAACGTAAATAATTTTATTAAAAAAATTAGAAAAAACAATCAAATACAACGCATTGATAGCATTATTATTGACCCTGTTATTCTATCCAATAGACTGAAAAGTGAATTTTGTTTAGAATTTTTGCAAAACACTTTACCGGAGTTATTGGAAGGTGTGCTGTTATTGCTTAGAGCTAACATGTGGTTTATGCATGATGGAGCTCCACCATATTTCACTGTTAATGTCAGGCAGCATCTGAACCAAAGATTCCCTCGTCGATGGATCGGTAGAGGGGATAATGTTCCTGTTAACTAGCTTGTTCGTTCACCAGACTTAACACCTTGCCACTATTATCTTTGGGGTACTTTAAAAACAACAGTGTAAGCTTCCACATCTAACACTGAAGAAGAGTTGTGGGAGACATATTCAAATTGTCACAAATGTTTTAAAAAATTGCCCTCAAAAACTGCAAAAGGTGTCCTTTAACATTCTTCGCCGAATTAACCTTTGTTGTAGAAACAACGGTAGCCATTTTGAACAGTTTTTATAATAAGTTGTTACTTTTATCTCCAGCATTTTTTATTGTATTTGATTGTTTTTACTAATTATCTCAATAAAATTAGGCATGTTGTTAATAATTTGTCGTATGTGTGTATATCCATATCGTAGTAACATGTGGTATATCTTATCGTAGTAAACACTCATTAAGAATTGACAGGTACAATAACTTAAAGGTCAAACTGAAATGACAATAAACCTACAAAATCAGTGCCTACTACCATTGTTAAGTATTGTAATATGGGTGGCAAGATGATGTAGACATTTGAAAAATATTTTTTTGTACCCAAACCGTTCATTTAATCAAAATTCTACAAGAGCCCTAAAAACTTCCAAATGGTATCACCTATCAAATAATATATAGTTGTCATTATTTCCAGAAAGAGGAGAAAGTTATGAAAGGATATTATCACCATACATCAATTTTGTAGGAGTTGTAGGTTTTAAAAGACACTCTGTATAACACCAAAATGTGTAGATTGAAAGCAAAAGTTCACACCCCAAAAACGATTAATATGTATTCCAAGTTATTTATAAAATTCAAAAAATTTTCATGAACTTAGGCCATCTCGCGGCCAAACGAAGCGATTTCGGATATAGGTGAATTAGCCTAAATCTGCCTATTTTGAGTCCACTAATCTGTGGTCTTCTGTTGTACACGTTATTCTGGGACACCCTGTCCCTGTATCCACTACTGGAAAAATATAAGGGGCCCATATTCTTTAAATAGTGTTTTCCACAAAGACAAATAATTTCAAACATTTAATAACTGAATAATCTAAAGCTTATCAAATAATAGGAATGTTATGTCATGCCATCTGGGTATTTTCAAAGACGCCGCAGTAAAACGAATAAACAGGTGCAAAAAACGATCAAACCATCAAGGTTTTAGGTACTGAAATCTACGAAAATATAAACTTGTTAATATATACAACTTCACATGTAAGTATTCTTGTAACATTTACTTGCTTAGTCCTACATATAAAATTGTTTACTTTTATTTATAAGTATGTGAAAATTATTCTTAAAATGTGGGGTTAGGATAACAGCAAACGCATGTTTTACAAACGCTTTTTTTTAGCTACTATTTCATTTGAGTAAATTTAAATAGTAACAATGAATAAACAGAACATCAAAGATTTTATTTTTGTGCTTACTTTTGTTCTACACGTTTTACTTTGCAAGATTTCAGTAGGTACCTAAAAACGTTAAGACATTTGACTATTTCTCGGCCAGGAATATGGCCACCTTAAAAGAAAAAAAATTCATAATTTATTTAGTGATTTTTTGAAAGGATGAATCTGTCAAAAATGGCCGTGTCGAGTCAAAAAAAAAAACGTTTGGAAGCTTTTAAGTCTCTAGTTTCAAGATCTTTTGACAAAAAAGGAATCAAAAGAAATACTTAGGTACCTCGACAAAATCAATTTTGTTTTGGACTGTCCACGGACTTAGGAAATTTTTTTCGAACGCAATCAATGTAGAGGTCAATTAGCAAATTATTGCACAGTAAATCTAAAAGGGTTTAGAAAACTTGAATAAATAATCTACAAGGCCCTATTATAGTTCGAATACAATTTTTTTAATCCCTGACATTAATATTTACGGTTTTTTAGAAAATCTACCGCTAATTTGCAAATATTGATCAAAAGACTAACGTTCAGAGAAATTTTTACAGCTCAATGTACCCATAATAACCCTGTAAATTAACAAGTTGACAACATTTTATGATAGTTTTCGAAAAACTGCATAATTGAATATGATTAAAGAATAGTGAAAAAGTTTTAATTCCCACACCCACTAGTGCTCAAAACTGAAACGTGAAGACAGCTTCATGATAGCATGACGTGCGTGCTGTGTGTGTGTAGTGTAGAAATTCCATTCCCAAGTTGGTATTTTTGATAAATTCCATACAATGGAGCGGAAGTGCTGTCTGGAGTCAAATAATATAGACTAGGGACAATTAAGTAAATCATTTCATAATTGATAATGAACATCTTTGTACAGGCAGTTTATGTACAAGATTCCTAAGAGACCACTTCAATGCTAAAGTGGGCGGGAGATGTTTTCATTTCCGCAAGAGCTACTATGTTATTATTGTGTCTTAATTGATATATTGTTTCTGTTCTTGTTCGTATCATGTATGTACATAATGTTGCCGTAATCTAGAAAAGTATCATATATTACATTGTAGTACAAGCAAACACTGCATATGTATTTATATATTCCAGTAAACTATTCTACGTACGTTAAAATAATCATAAAATTTATGCAGTATGTACCTATTTCGCCTAAGTTTACGATATTTTAAATTTGCTGCAATATCATAGTAATCCAGTCGGCAGAGGCCGAAAAGTTACTGTTGGTGACATTTCCTTGATAACTCGGAAATAACTACACAGGAATACTTTAAATGATGAGTACAATAACAGGCTAATTTGCTGACAATGTATTTTATCAGGAAAAAAAGTTATTAACAATTTAATCGTGTTAAAAATTTTTTTTAGTAGTTTTCTTTAAATAACTCAGCGGGATGACCTTGTACGAAAAAATGCTTGGGACATAATTTTGTTTGTAATATAAATAGCTACAAAATGGTGGTGGTCCGATTACGAAATTTGCAATAACAAAGCCATGAGATTGAAAAAACGGTATAAAACGTAAATTTTTTAAAGTTGCTGTAAAAATGTCAATTATAAACAAAAAGTGATAAAACTTTCGAAAACTATAGTTCAATATATATACAATAATGACGCTAAAGCCGAAAATCAGGAGAGCAAAACTTTTTGTTCTATAAGGTGTTATACATTCATCGGCATCTGAAACTCGAAACTTTGCCAAATTTGTTCGAAGCTTTGCTGACACTTGAAATTTGGTACACACATAGTGTAAATATGCAGAAACCAAAAGCAATTTGCAAAATTCAAGTATCTTCATTTTTGCAGTTTTGGTAAGGTTTTATACGTCACCCTAGTTTTATACGTCACCGTTTTTTTAATTTTTGGACGTATATTTATGTATATTTATAAAATATTCCATTACGGTAGATTAGCCAGCATAATTACCTACAATTTAAAAAAATATATATTTTCATCGTTTAGATCCTAAGCTACTTAACATTTTGCGCCTGTTAGCCGTAGTCGTACATTATTCAACATATTAACAT